TTAGGTTCCTGAAGGAAATGTATTAGGAGAAGTAGGAAAAGGTGCGTATTATCTACAAATAATAAATATATGTGCATGTTCATATATGACGTGACGTGAATGAATATTCGATATAATAATTTATTATAATTGTTGTAAATATTCAAGGTTACAAGTATGCTATTGAGATATTGAATGAGGGACGTATTGGAATAGCAGCTCAAATGATAGGGATTGCACAAGGAGTGTATGATCACGCATTACCTTATTTATTCCAAAGGGAACAATTCGGTCAACTTATTGGCAACTTTCAGGTAAAGATAATAAAAATATAGATGGATAAAAAGAATTTGGTTGATATTAATAAAATCACCACTGAATACGACGTATATATATATTCCTCTCTCTCTTTCTTTTTATCTTTAATAGGGAATGCAAATGCAATATGCACAAAGTTGGTATTATTTAACAAATGTAACAATGACGATTATTATTATTTAAATTATATAATTTTGTTATTAAATTATAATTACATGGTGCATGCGCACACATATATATTTCATCTAGTTGCAACTGAAATCGAGGCTGCCAGATTGCTAACATATAATGCGGCTAGAATGAAACAAGAAGGTGATCTTTTAAATCCTGAAAAAGAACGATTTAATGGTACTTTCTGTATATGTGCAAAATATAAGCTTCTTGTTGCATACAAAGTAGCACATGGCTTCAAAGTTTTGAGAAATTTTAATAAAGAAATGAACAAGAATATTATATTATATACTTAATTGTATAAATAATATATAAATGCATGCATACGGAAAGATATTGTGGGTCAAATTCAATTTTAAATCGACATGATCAGAATTTCGCATCCAAACACCTCACCCAAAATTTTAATTATAAATTTATATTTAACACATATGATTTTGACTCATAACATATATAGACCATTACTAACCGTAATGTCGCCACATCCAATCAAACAATCTGATCTACTTAACCTTTCAGCTACAAATGCTATCTCTGATATATTACTATAATGATTTATATAATTGTTTTGCAATAAATCAAGGTAGAAATCATGATCAAGATTATCCAAAGAATCCTACAAGCAATTCTTTTAAATAAAGTAAGTTTATTATAATGATAGAATATAAAATTACGGAAGGTTTGATAATATATATATTTTACTTCAGGCATTATTTTAATAGGATGTCGATCAGGCATTTCATCAGGGACAACTTCCTTTCCAATTAACTCTTTAAGTTTGATACTTGTTTCATTAAAAACATTAGGTTCAGTCCCTATATATTTTCAATACAAATAATTAATCAAAAGTGATAATAATAATAATTTTTTTTAAAAAATCAGGCACTTACTAAAATTATATAATACATTTTTAACAACAGTGTATTTATCTGTTAAATAGTCATGAGATAAAACGTTTAACGTTGTGTCGCTAATAATAATGGATGATGATTTTTAGTGAATATTTTATGCTTTACCTTCAAATAGAAACAAAATTTTGGTTAATTCTTACTATTATTATTAAAAAATACCTACATCAACTTTTGATGATGAAGCAACATTATTTGTATTAGAAGTTTTTGCTTTTTTTTGACGGTCTTAGATCACTAATTGATGATGCTTGAATTTATTTCTTCCATTACTTCTCCAGGTACGTGGGTTAGGAATGATCTTAAAAGCTTGATCGCTTGTCTAAGATCACCATTTGTTCTTTTTTCAATTGATGGAATTAATTTTGATCTTTTTTGTTTGTCATTTCCATATTTTTTATTGATGTATTTTTGAAGAGCATTTATCATCAAGTATGTTGCTATGGCAAGAAACCTAAAAATATAAAATAATTTAATTATAGACATTGAATGTAATTCCAAATTAAATCATCACATACTTTATGTGTTTGCATCTTTCTGAATTAACAACATTTGAGGTAAAAATATTTTTGTTGTTAATCTCATCTTTTCTTGCATAATCATTGTTGGCATCATTCACATCTGTGATCATGAAGATTATGGGATATTTTGCCATTTTATCATTTAAATATGCATACATTATTTCATTAAAATCTTTATTTGTTTTATCATCCAAAAAAGACAAATCATCAAAAAATATTATTTGTTGAGTGCATCCATTTTTAAGGCCTTGAGGTTCCATCCTTTTACTGTAGTATTGAAGGAAAGTCGAAAGTCCATTAAAAAGTGACTCATAAATATACTATTTTTTTTTAAATAATTATAATAAGTATGGATTTAAATTTAAAATGTAAAATTACAAAAAAAGAAACTTTAAAAATTGAATTCATTCATTACCTTCATTATCTTAAAAATCACTCCAATCGACAATGTGGTACTTGCGTTGATTGCATATGTATTTTAATGTTGAAGTCTTGCAAGCGCCAGTTGGACCACTTATTATTAACAAGCGAATCTATTTATATTTT